AATTATTAATCCTTATGTCTCTAATTACTTGTCCACTTTTGAATTGTCACACCTATTAAGAAAGCAATTATTGACATAGTGAGTTTACCATTTTACCCCTATTAATTATGAAGCGGATGAATTAAAATTTTAAGATTTTCAAAAATTCTACCTTTTTCAAAGTAATTAATTGAGGGTATATAGGTAAAATTATTTTGTTCTTTCTTAATTTGTCAAAATGAACAAATAATTAGGGACAGAGGGAGTAATTAATAGAATTATAGGATGTACTATAGTATCTTATACATATATAGGGATTATTTTTTTCTTATTGTATAAATTTCCAAATATGAAATTTACAACCTTAAAATTTAACTATGATTAATCATCTAGTATTATAACAGGTCAAGATTGGTTAATAGGGATTAATTTTTCCTTTTTTTTTTATTGGGAAAATTGAGCATTATATAACAAATTTTTAATTCAAAATAAATGTTATAGTTACAGTTTCATTTAATTCCAATTCGCATCAAACTTCTTGCCATTCGCCTCTTTCCCCACCTTTCTGGAATCTCGCTCGCCACTCTCCTCTTTTTCAATCATCTCTTCCTCGCCTCTCTTACTTTATACAAACCAAATATATAATTTGTGTTTGTGTTTGTATAAAGCGAGAGACGAATATACAAATACAAATACATATTTCTCCGTCCTATACACATATAATTATACAAATAAAAATATTTCCCTGCCTAGCTCTCTTTTGCCTTTAATTCTCTCTCTTCGTTATATATAAACACAAATTATACAAATACAATGTATAATTTGTATATGTATAAAACGAGAGAGAGGGAGGATATACAAATACAAATATTTTAACTCGATTCAATTGTAGACGAATTCAAATTTTATGCAGATTACAAACACAATCATTGATACATATACATAGTACCTACATATATACAATTATATAACCGATATACATATACAATTCACCTCTCCCACTCTAGCTCTTCCCTCTCTCGCTCACCTCTTTCATCTCTCTCCCAATCTCGCCCGTCACTCTAGCCTAACACAAATAACATATACATATACATATACAAATGCAATTTTCATAGACACAGACGAATTAGCGCCCAATTTATACAAAACATCACGATTTATACAAATCAAATGCTTCATAGCAAACATAATTTGGCTATAGAACGCAAATAGCAAAATTGTAGCTATAGAGCAATTCTATGATTTTTATCTTTGTTATTTCTAAAATTGACTCCTTAATTATCACTTATATTCATAGATTTTCCGTAATCTAGCATGGATATAGAGTTTGATTAAGTTATACCTGTGTCATTTAAAAGATATCTATATGTAAACTTAGTCAATATAAGGAATTTATAATCTTAAAAATAAAATAAACTAATTATCTAGTATAACAAGTAAATGAGACGTGTAAAATAAGCTACGTTTATTATCTAGTATAAATTACAAAATATGAAATTTATAATCTTAAAATAAGATTGATTTTAGTTATACAAGTAAAATGATGTGTAAAATAAGGTAGGTTCATTATCTAGTATAAATTTTAAAATATGAAGTTTATTCTATTGAAAATATAATAGGTTAATTATCTAGTATAAAAGTAAAAACAAAAAAGATGTGTATAATAAGATAGGTTCATTATTTAGTATAAATTTCCAAATATGAAATTTACAACCTTTGAAAATTATATATCGAGTGTGGAATTAAGTCCATTCCGTGTTCGTTAGGAATTAGAATGTCAAAAGTGGCACTATGAGTTATCGATTTTGCCTAAATGGCGGCACACATTAAGATATGTTCTTCAAGAGAATTCCAGCACGCCATTATTTGCTAAAAAAATGTTACTCTACATGTATTTAACATTAAATAAATTACGTGTCATTCTTATATAATTGTCCTCAATTTTTACTTATATACTCCGTCCCTATTTAGTTGTTCACTTTAGAAATGATACACATATTAAGGCAACAATGATTAGCATAGTGAAGTCACAATTTTGCCCTTATTAATTATGATTCCAAAATAAATTTATTCAAGATAACTAATCAATGTTGGGGGAAGTTTAAAGTTTCAAGAAGTTTAAATGAGGGTATAATAGGAATTTTTTTTTTATCATTTCTTAATTTGTCAATATAGACAAGTAAATAAAGACATCTAAAAAGGGAAATATGGAGTATATAGTCAATAATGTCCCCTTCCTTTTTTGGTTCATCACGTCAAGTGAGTTGTAAAAGCATTTGAGTTGATACTCATAAAAAATGCAAATTATTAATTGCAATAGGGCAGTAATATAATATACATTGCCATGCACATGCACATGCACTTGCAGTGTGATAAATCAAATGTGTGTGTCACGGCTTGCAATATTTTAACGGACCCAAGAATTTGAATCTACGACTTCGAATAATATTGAACGAATTTGGTGATTACACAAGAAGTTTCCGTGTAAGGAATTCAATAATATGACTTATTCGCGTATTATAATTTTTCTACCAAGACTCTAAAAGAGGTTGGATTGAAGTTATCCAACATTAGTTGTTTTAGGATTAAAATGGTACTATTTCTTGGAACATATAAACCTTCTCTTTTGTACCGTGAATATAGTTAAAGACTTAGAAAATTTTATTTGTCTCAATTCTCTTTTTCACTACACTTACCACACTACATACTATAATATTTTTCACACTTCTCTTCTTTTTTGATATATATACACTTCACAAAGGAAGAAACACCACTATTTATAGGTGAATAAGTCTTCCACATAATCAATGTGTAGAATGAAGGGTAGTAATATAGTGTAGGTAGATAAATGTAATAGATGTTAAATGAGTTTTTGATTTTTGGAATATTCCAATAATTTCTTGTTAAGATATCAAAGTTTGATTATATTAAAGGAAGAAAAAAGTTTAATGGTTTGTTTCAAATGACATTAGCTCACAAATTTCAACTAAAAATGGATTACAAAGAATTGTTAGTATGTTTTGTCTTTGAAATTGAAAAAAAATCATTATTATTTTTGAAATATATGGTGAATCTATATTAAGTTGATAATCTAATTCTAAATTGAAAGTTGATATGAGTTTTGACTACATATGTGAATAAAATACAAGGCCATATTGAGATCAGATTAATCCTACACATCTATTTATTTTACTTTTATGTTTAATATGTGACTTTAGATCAACTTACCTATAAATATATTATGAAAATATGATATATTTTACTAATTAACAAAACATATGATAGCTAATTTTGTAGAACTTTAAAGTACGTGACATATATAATCTTTCAAAGAAAAAAATAATTATATTATCTAATATTTCTTCTAATAGGTTTACATTCCTAGTAAATACACACGTACAAATTATTTTTATCCTATTGCTACAAAATATAATTTAATAATCATTATTTTTATTCTATTGCCACAAATTATAACTTCCGAATTTATATGTGCAAGACTAGAATAATGGAAATTGTTCATCCACAATCTAAAAGACTAAAATACCCCTCTAATCACGTGGACAACTTTTCACCCTTGGAATCAATTTTTTTTTAGTAATCTTATTATGTCCTTCTCGATAAGATAGCAGATCTATTAGCTTTTTTGAATACTATAATTATACTACTCTATTATATAGTGGATGGACCCGAAATACAATAAAGTAATAGACTATTCAAAATCTCAATGAATGACTAACAGACAACCATGTCATAAAAACCACATTCACCAAGATAAAAATCTTTGGGACAAACGTTGGTGCAGCATTTTTTTAATCACCAATACTTGACTGTCATTTTGAAGAAAGAAATATACTGAGAAATAGTCCCCCAAAAAGAAAAATAATTAATTTTTTAATTAAATAAAAAGGATCAAATTTGTTCATGTTTTACAGAAATGGAGCTACTTTTCTCTTAGTTGACTTTTTGATGTAGAATTATTCCAATCTTTAGAAGAAGAAAAAGGAAAAATTCTTTTGGTCAAAATGATATTTTACTTATGTTTTTTTTTTTTTTTGAACATTTTATCATTTTAATTTTAATATGTTTTAACTAAAAAATGGAAAAAAAAATCAGTTTATTTTAAAATAAAAAAAATATTATAATTTTTTTAAATTTCTGGCCATTTAGCACTATCCAAAATTTTTTTTTTTTTTTTTTTGCATTTGACTCTTAACAAATCTTCAACATGGATTTTATCGATTCATGTATTGCAATCTGAAGTTAATATATAATAATAATTGATGAATGGACAGTCATATTGATATACAACAATAATTGAGTAGACAATTAAATATTGATAAATATTTAATAAAATTCTCAACAAATTTTCAAAGTTTGTGAAAAAATATTTAATATATGTAAATCTAAAATTGAAATAGAAGTATTAATTGACAAAGAATATACAAAGGGAGACAAAATAAAATACTGTACTTAATTTACAAACTCATAAATTTTGGATATTTTCAAAAACAATAGTGGAGGAAAGAGAAATTATGTTTCTTCCCGCTTTCTCATTGGCTTCAAGTAGCGGCGAGCGCGTCTTTTCCTGTGAAACTCACAACTCGGTCTGACTAAATTCCACCATGTGTAAAGTTTGCACTAAAATGAAACCCACTTTACATTATTATTGTTAAGACCGGACCCCAGCGAAAAAATAAATAAATGAAGAAGGTGACATCAAGGATTAAATCCGAAACAGCTAATTATATAAAAATAACTGACTGGATCATATTTTTCGATGGTCAAGCACTTACTATTCATGTGAAGGAAATCAAAAACGTGTGGACGGTGAATCATAAATTTTTAATCAACTTATACCTCTTTCTATATATACCATCTCATTCATTTCACTATGCTCAAAAAATAAACATATTCATTTCTAACTAATAAATCCTTCATTTTTTTCCTCTCTCCCAATTCATTTGTAAGAGAAAGGGAAAAAAAACCCAGAAGAAGCACCATATATTGCAACGTAAATTAAAGAAAGAAAATTATTAATGGCACTTGCTAAAGAAATTATGGGTATTTCCCTGCTGGAGAAATCATCATCATTTATGAACTCATCATCAATGGCACTTTTTAATCCCAATAATTATCACAAAGAAAATCATCTTTGGTTCAACCAGCAGTTTCAAGGAAGGAGGAATTTAAGTAGAAGAAAAGCGTTCAGACAGAGTACTATGGCAGCTATAAGTGAAAATTTGATCAAAGTTGTGCCTGAAAAAGCAGTGAAATTCAAAGTGAGAGCTGTAGTTACAGTGAGGAACAAGAACAAGGAAGATCTGAAGGAGACAATTGTGAAGCATCTTGATGCTTTCACCGACAAAATCGGGAGGAATGTCACGTTAGAGCTCATTAGCACTGACATGGATCCAAGTAAGTCAAGGTCTTAACTAATGATCCGAAAGGCCTCTTATTAAAATTTAATTTCTGACTCTATTTTCTTCAGATACAAAAGGACCGAAGAAGAGCAACCAAGCAGTGTTAAAGGACTGGTCTAAGAAATCGAACTTGAAAACAGAGCGAGTAAATTACACAGCAGAATTCATTGTGGACTCGAATTTCGGAAATCCAGGCGCGATCACAGTGACGAACAAGCACCAGCAAGAGTTCTTTCTGGAGAGTATTACTATTGAGGGCTTTGCATGTGGTCCAGTTCATTTCCCCTGTAATTCATGGGTTCAACCCAAAAAAGATCATCCTGGAAAAAGAATATTCTTCTCTAATCAGGTATACTTCCTTATTTTCTTTTACTACTTTAATTTTTAAATAAAATTATCATCATATTAATCATCTGATATGACTTGTCCAGTTGTAATTAATTTATTCATTTTATTCAATTCAATGTTTGAATTTTTAGTTTCGTTGACATAATACTTTCCGTGTGGAAAATAGGAAAGTAGTCTTAGTTTGAATTACTACCGTATTTGAAATTTGAATTGATCAAAAAGAATTTTTTAAATATTAGATTTTACCAACATAATACGGTAACTAACAACTTTATGACTATTTTAGTAAAATAAATTTGATTATTCTAAACTGGTTATATAGTTTAATTAATAAAAGGAGCAAAGAGAATATTTAGAAAAAAAAAAAGAAAAAAAAAAGCAACACCATCACGAGTTAAATGCATTATGCACGTAATGTCTTTTTATATGGCCCCCAATGTTGATGTTGCTTATCTTCATGTTTCTATAGATTTAAAGTTTATGAATTATATAACGACTTTAACTTAATATTATACGTAATAATAATTGAATTCATAATTAAATATATATGATGTGAACGAAAACAAACTAAAATTAATATAAATTATTTTTGCAGCCATATCTACCGGATGAAACACCAGCAGGACTCAAATCATTAAGAGAGAGGGAGCTAAGAGATTTAAGAGGCGATGGAAAAGGCGTCAGAAAATTATCTGATAGAATATATGATTATGACATCTATAATGATCTTGGAAATCCAGATAAAGGCATTGATTTTGCTCGTCCTAAACTTGGAGGAGACGACAATGTTCCTTACCCGAGACGTTGTCGTACTGGTCGTGTTCCTACAGACACAGGTTAGCTAATTAGTTACACTGTGAGTGTAGATAATTAGTTAAATTTGTGATTCAGTTAGCTTACGATTGTTGTCTTATGATTAATATTTTGTAGATATAAGTGCGGAGAGTCGTGTGGAGAAGCCAAATCCAACGTATGTTCCGAGAGATGAACAATTTGAGGAGTCTAAAATGAATACATTCTCAACTTCCAGGCTTAAAGCAGTGCTCCATAACTTAATTCCATCTCTAATGGCCAGCATTTCTTCTAACAATCACGATTTCAAAGGATTTTCAGATATCGATAGCCTTTATAGCAAAGGGCTACTTTTGAAGCTTGGTCTTCAGGACGAAGTCTTAAAAAAGCTTCCATTGCCTAAGGTTGTTAGCAGTATCAAAGAAGGAGATCTGCTCAAATACGACACGCCAAAGATACTATCAAGTAATTAGTCCCTAACCTGTTGCTAAATAGGATTAATGACTGATTAAAACCTATTGTGCAATTCTTTTAACTAGTGATGAATGCTTAATTAACAAATGTCAATATTGTGTACATTGCAGAAGACAAATTTGCCTGGTTACGAGATGATGAATTTGCTCGACAAGCAATAGCAGGAGTGAACCCGGTATCCATCGAAAAACTTCAGGTTTTTCCACCAGTAAGCAAGCTTGATCCTGAAATCTATGGCCCTCAAGAATCCGCCCTCAAGGAGGAGCACATTCTTGGTCATCTCAATGGCATGACTGTTCAAGAGGTAATTAAACACAATTGGATTTCACTTATACGAACGATAAATTATTTTACATTATCAGTGTATTTTAACTTACTGTCTTACTAATTAAAAATGTTCATCTCCTAATGTGACAGGCTTTGGATGCAAATAAGCTTTTCATTGTGGATCATCATGATGTATACCTTCCATTTCTCGATCGGATTAATGCACTTGATGGCCGCAAAGCATATGCAACACGCACCATTTTTTCTTGTCTGATGTTGGCACACTTAAGCCCATTGCCATTGAACTTAGCCTCCCCCAAACTGGTCCAAGTTCGCGATCCAAACGTGTTGTCACACCACCTGTTTGTGCCACTGGTAACTGGACGTGGCAGATCGCTAAAGCACACGTCTGTGCTAATGATGCTGGAGTTCACCAACTCGTCAACCACTGGTAAGTAATTAACCTGAAAAATGAGTTGATGCAGAAAAACAGAATTTTACCTTTATTTAATACTTATAGTTTTGTGGATGATTTTGGTCATGTAGGTTGCGTACACATGCAAGCTTGGAACCATTTATATTGGCAGCACACAGGCAATTAAGCGCGATGCATCCAATTTATAAGCTTTTGGATCCACATATGAGATACACTCTAGAAATTAACGGTTTGGCTCGCCAGAGCTTGATCAATGCTGATGGTGTCATCGAGGCTTGCTTTACTCCTGGTCGCTACTGCATGGAGATCAGTGCTGCTGCCTACAAGAATTGGCGCTTTGATTTAGAAGGCCTTCCAGCTGACCTTATCCGAAGGTACAATTTCTTCTATAGTCAATTAGGAGTTAAGTTATATACACTGACATTGGAAAAAATTATATCGTCACTGTGTCACTGTAATTTAACGGATTCCAGCATATTAATTACCTATTAACCTTCAAATTATAATATTTTTTTGTATGTAGTCTTTATTATTGTGGGTAAAAAGTGGAAAATCTAAATAAATTTTGGTCTTATTTCAAAATGCAGAGGGATGGCAGTACCGGACTCAACACAACCTCATGGGCTGAAACTTCTAATTGAGGACTATCCCTATGCTGCAGATGGGCTTATGATATGGGGCGCAATCGAGAGCTGGGTTCGCGATTACGTAAACCACTACTACCCATCCTCGGCCCAAGTTTGCAGTGACAGGGAGCTGCAAGCTTGGTATGCCGAGACTATTAATGTGGGCCACGTTGACCTTCGCAATGAGGAATGGTGGCCCACGTTAGCTACTCCAGAGGACCTCATTTCCATCCTCACCACCCTCATCTGGCTGGCTTCAGCGCAACACGCTGCACTGAATTTTGGGCAGTACCCTTACGGTGGCTACGTCCCAAACCGGCCACCACTCATGCGTCGATTAATCCCTGACGAGAACGATCCCGAGTACGCGGTGTTCCTAGCTGATCCACAAAAATATTTCTTCTCAGCTTTACCAAGTTTGTTACAAGCAACAAAGTTCATGGCCGTGGTTGACACATTATCGACACATTCTCCGGACGAAGAATACTTGGGGGAAAGACATCAACCGTCTACTTGGACCGGAGATGCAGAGATTGTTGAAGCGTTCTACAAATTTTCCGCGGAAATAGGGAGAATTGAGAAGGAGATAGATGAAAGAAATGCCGATACGAAACTAAAAAATAGGTGTGGTGCTGGTGTGTTACCATATGAACTATTGGCACCAAGTTCAGGCCCTGGAGTAACATGTAGAGGTGTTCCAAATAGTGTATCAATATGAGTAATTATAAGTACATATATATAACCAATGTTTATGAAGTCCATAAATAGGGTGGACTAGTGAGTCTTCTCTGCATATATGTAATATCAAGATGTATGTTTGTATCTACAGCTAGATTTTTGTAAGAACATTAATTAAATTAAATAATTAGCTACTAATACTAGCTTAAGTCCATCTACCACATACTCAAAAATTTTTTTAAGACCGTACCTTTCGTGCCCACTAGTGCAGTAAATGCAACATCCAACTGTGTTCACGGTCCAGATGTGCGGTTCAAAGCGTGTGGGAATGTTACAATATCTCACATTCACCTTTTATGATATTGAACTATACGCATCTCATGAGTTAACTTTTGAAGTCGAGTTAGTTTCATGATCTAATTTACGTAATAAATAATGGTGTCTTACTGATCTGTGATCGTAGTGACGTTAATCTAGAAGTCATCATTATAGCACTTGGACTAAAACCAATACTACTACAATCTATCATGACTTCCCACAATAATGTTTGTCAGCATCATCTACTTTTTTTGCCACTACATTTCCCATTAAAACAATTTTTACTTTTTAGAAATTGCAGTTGATTTTACAGAGCTATAGTCCCCTTCAATTTTCTTTTAATAATTCTGAAGTCCTAGAAGCATACTCAATAATTCCACCAGATATAAGTTAATTAGCTCCCACCAGTAAAGGTACCAAATAACGTATGCCTCCCATCAACTCAAATTTTGGATAATATAATCTATCAAGGCTTAGATCGATAAGAAGAAAGCTTTTCTCCCAAATTAAGATTGTGATCTTCAAGTTTATACCTACTTCTTTAGCCACTAGATTACGCTTTTAGATGCTTGGACAGCTTGGCCCCAAATTGTCTTGTTATTAATTAACGTGTACTGGTTGTTTGAAATTCACATATAAGAATAGAACGTAAGGTAGCCTAACTTGTGAAATTGAACCATCAATAAGAAGTATATATGTATTTGTGTTGTGCCCACATTAGTTGTTTAAAGAATTAGAGTTTGTTTGACATTATTGTTGGAAGTCCAAAAACACTTATTTTGATTTTAAAAAATTATATTTTTTTTCAAAAAATTAGGTATTTGTCAAATCTATAAAATTATTTTTAAATGGAAATAATCGTTTTTCTGTTGTTGCAAAGAAGCTAAAAATTTCTGCTTCTTAAAAAAAAAAATATTATTTTTTTCAAGACTAAAATATCACTTTCATATATGTATATTTACCAATATATCTTTTATTAATTAATTAACATATCTCATATTTTGGAATAAGTATCATTTAGTAAAAAAAAAATTATTTTTATATAATAATTATTTTTTTATTTTACATTTATGTATTATTATTTTACTTATTATTTTTAGAATTATACAAAAAAATAACAACAATATTTTTGCAAGATTAGAAACAAGAAAAAAAATAATTAAAGATTTTAACCCTCCAAAAAAATGTATAATATTGATTGAAAATTTGAATATGAATATTTTAATTTAATAAAAATAAAAATTTAATTTAATTTTTGTAATAGATGTTTAAACTAGTTTCTCTCTATAAAATAATCTTAATACTAAAAATACATTAATACTTGCCCTCGTAATTTGACTCTCAAAAGCATTTTTAAAAAAAGATTAGTGAAACACAATTTGCTTATAAAAAACACTTTTCAAATGAATTAGCCAAACACAAATTGTATTTTTTTTTCCAAAGCACTGAAAAGCTATTTTTAAAAAAGTACTTATGAAAATAAGCAATTTTCAACGGCAATGCCAAACAAGCTCTTAATCAGAATCAATTGCGAAATTAAGTTATATTAATTTAATTAATATTTTGAAAGCACTGTATTATTATTTTTTTCCTTTTTCTTTTTTTTTCACAGTTGGATGGTTGTTAGAGCAGTCCCACTATATTGAGAGTGGTTAAGGCTCAAATTGCAAGGAACTTTCTTTGTTTATTAAAGGAAAAATGAATATTAAAGTGGTACGGTCTGAAATGAAGATTAAAAAAAAGGCCTTTATTATTAGATTCATTTTTATATTTCATTATTGGGTTGTTACAGTCTGAAATGGAACATGTTGCAAAACAGACAAAAATAGTGTGATCTTATCAAAAACTGTTGGTCTTTAATTTTTACAATTTTTTATTTTTTTTAGAGCTTTAAATGATTAAAAATTAGCTGAAAATTCCCCTAACGAAAAATTGCAAGACGAAACAAAATTTGCAAGGAATAAGTTTAGTTAAAAACATGTCCCAGACATAAGTTTTGTAACAAAAATTATGCCGAAAACAGAGGAATTTAATTATGCTCAAGTTAATATATCAAAAACTCATTCAATTTAGATCTTTATATCAATAAAATTACTTAATCAAATTTATCACAAAAAAATTAATATATCAAAATAAATTATATTTTATGCTAGGTAAATATAAAATTCATAAATAAATAAAATTAAAGAAAACTCAACAAAAGAATTTTAGGGGTAAATTATAAAATTTTCACAGTCATCGAAAATATTTATATATTTGAAAAATTAGAATTGATATTCATGTGTAAGAAATTAAAATGTGAAAAAGAATTTAGGAGAATTCATAAATAAATGCACATGTTTTTTAGCATCAATACTTTGTTTGGGCAATATTCAATCGAAAAAAACACTTGGTACTCTAAAAGATATTGTTACAATATTGAATTTGATATATACTCATTAAGGTACGGTTCAAATTTCATAATTTCGCCAGTTTTCTTTACTCCACTTTCTTGGCTATCTGAATTTTAGACCATAATATAGTTTTCACTAAGCGAAAATTTTATAATTGACATATATAAGATTAATTATTACTAGTTATGACATATTTTTCGATTCCAAATTTTCAAATATACTGAAAAATTGATTGAGGAGATGAAATGAATGGTGTTAGGGTTTTTTTAATAATAAATTAAGTTGAGTGTTTTAATGATATAAAAATCTAAATTGAGTGATTTTATTGATATAAAAATAAAATTTAATGAATTTCGTAGACAAAATTTCATAATTGACTGACATTTTGATACCCAAAACATAAAGTGTAGTGCGTACAATAACTTGAATCAGAAATATATAACTCGATTATAGTGCTATTATTTTCTTTTTCTGAAAAAAAAAAAGGGTCTGGTTGTTAGAAATAGGGGTGCGCATCGGTCGGTTCGGTTCGGTTTTAGGTGTTATTGGTTCGGTTTATCGGTTTTCGGTTTGTAAATACTTCAAACCGATAACCAAACCAATAACATATTTCTTATCGATTTTTGGTTAATCGGTTTATGGTACTTAACGGTTCGGTTTTCGGTTTAATCAATAAGAAAATACCATATGATTTTTCCAACATTTGGCAGGAAAGTAATAATCATAAAAGTAACAATCATTTTTCTTGTAAGTTTAGACACTAGACACATTCAAAGGAAAAAGTGTGAAAGTAGCAATCGTTTAACCATTAACAAAAAGTGTGAAAGTAACAATAGTTTAACCATTAACAATAAGACTAGTAAATTTAGTATAGTCTTATTGGGTTATCAGTTTAACCATTAACAAAAATTATAAAACCGGAAATCGAACCAATAACCCAATAAAAAATTTTGCAAAACCGTTTAAAAACCGTTAGCCCAATAACCCAATATCAATAAACCAATAGTGTTTTTTTTGGTTTGATTTATTGGTTAAATCGGTTTTTTCACACCCCTAATTAGAAACAGAAACAATTGTTAATTTTAAAATCACCGTTCCTATTTTGTGTATTATTTAGAACTAAGATTCACGTCAATAATTATATTTAAAGAATGAAGGGTCACTAGTCAAAGTCAAGTTAAATTTCATTCCAAGTCTCATAGAATTTAGCAGAAGGTGCATCACGTACAAAACTTTGCAAACTAGTGACCTTCCGTTACACATTTCTATTCCAAGTCAAAATATAGAAATTTACAACTCATTACTTATTCATTTCCTGGTTCATTACTCTTTTCGATTTATTTTATGTGATTATGCTTGATTAAGCGATAAAATAGAAAGAAAAAAAAAGACTTAAAATTTACTTCCTCCTCAATTTATGAGATATTTTTTGGATTTTGAGATTCAAACAAGTTTATCTTTGATCGTAATTTTTTTTTTATATATTTTGAATTGTCAATTATTGTAACTTATAATAACTTTTACGTAATTTACAAATATATAATTTTCATTTCAAAAAATTAAAGATTACATGCGCATATTTTCGGTCAAACTTAAATGGTTTAACTCTCAAAAAACGTAAAGTGACACATAAATTGAAATAAAGAGGGAATATGATTTTTTTAAAATATGACATAACATTTATGTTATCACTTCACAAATTTATTTTCTTAAACATTTATAAAATATAACATTTATGTGATTATTTCACTCAGAGTGCCTCATAAAGCAACTATCACAACTAAAAAAAATTGCCTTTATTTGAATAGATTTGTCCAACATCCATCTATACTTTTTTCCAATGAATTTCAAATTAGTGGACTGTGGGGTACCTTTTGTTTTGTTTTGTATTTTTGGAAAAAGGGGCCATTCACACAAATATTCTCTATTTCAGGTGGTGTTTAGTTTTCCTCTTTGAAATATCTGATCTTTAATTCTTATTTTTCTATATTTTAAATAACAAATAAATTGAATAACAAATAAATTTTTGCGGAGCATGAGGTTATATTTTCATTATATGATATCGTACATCATATTCTCATTCCACAAAAAGCTTAGTTTGAGAACCTACAAACTATATCATAAATGTATAACTTAATTACTATAAAACTTATTCCGAACAAATTAGGTTATATAATTCTATGCAACTTATGCCACATAACTTAAGTCCTATAAAACTTATGTAGAGTGAGATAAAAATTTTCTAAATGTATGTCGAGTAAATAAGGTTATATAGAAGAATATTTTGATCTATAAATTTTCATCAAAAGAGGTCAAAATCTGAAAACCATCATAATTGAAAGTAAAAATAAAAAATCACCATATTCAAAAGTAAAAATTAAAAATTATACCAAAATAAGAAAGCCAAAACATTTTTTTTGTTTTTTTTTTTAAAAAAAATTGGAAATAGGAAAAGGGATTACAATATGAAGAATTGAACCCTCAGTAGCTATTAAATATTCCGCCCAAAAAAATATTTAGTCCTATCTCTTTTTTTATTTTGTGGGCTAACTTATGTTATTATTCCAAGTTGTTTCACATCCTGTTGGAAGGTAGTAAGGAAGAAATAAGAAATTTGTTGGAAGACCAAAGGCAACTGAAACATAGTTTCCAGGAAATTATTAGACATTTTTTCAACTACAGAAGTCCACTCTCCCCATTAATAAATTGGGCAAATTACAGAAATTACATACTTTTAAGGCAAAATTACAATATATTCCTAAAAGTTTATAATTACAGAAATCCCTCAAACGGATACAATAATATAAGCGCTGATACATTAATTGTTAAGTAAGATACATTACATTTTATACATGATATACTAATCTGATGTACACTCTATACATGACACACTAATCTGATGCGCGAGATACACTAATCTGATGCGCGAAAATGAGAAATTTTGGAGATTTGTAAAATTTATAGGGGATAATAGTAATAAGTAAACTAAAATGTGAAATTTCTGTAATTTTTTCCTAATAAGTAACAGGAAATGATCGATCACAGATAATAAAGTACATAAAATGACTACTAAATTTATATTGACTCGCTAAATTATTCACGTAGTAACGACCATCTCTCTCGCAATTGCTATAAATACAGCTTTCGTTAAGCCATAAACTCCACAATAAAAAACAATTAACCTTACAATCACTATCACTCTTCTTCCAACCAAAATCAACTACCAAAAGTACAATCAACACAATGGAAGGTACTACCTGGACTGCATATGCTGCAATATTTCTTGCTACTCTGTTTCTTTTGCTTCTCTCCAAATTTCTTCGGCAGAGGAAACTCAACTTACCTCCAGGCCCAAAACCATGGCCGATCATCGGAAATTTAAACCTTATTGGCAGCCTTGCTCACCGATCCATCCACGATCTCTCCGTCAAGTACGGACCCATTATGCAACTACAATTCGGGTCTTTTCCCGTCGTAGTTGGCTCCTCTGTAGAAATGGCCAAAATTTTCCTCAAAACCATGGATATCAACTTTGTCGGCAGGCCTAAAACCGCTGCCGGAAAGTACACTACTTATAACTATTCAGATATTACATGGTCCCCGTACGGATCCTATTGGCGTCAGGCACGTAGAATGTGCCTGATGGAATTGTTCAGTGCAAAACGGCTCGATTCATACGAGTATATTCGGGATCAGGAACTTCATTCTATTCTTCATCATTTGAACAAATTATCGGGGAAACCGATTCTGCTGAAAGATTATTTGACGACTCTGAGTTTAAATGTTATTAGCAGAATGGTATTGGGGAAAAGTTATTTGAACGAATCCGAAAACTCGATTGTGACTCCTGATGAATTTAAAAAGATGTTGGATGAATTGTTCTTACTTAATGGAGTCCTCAATATTGGAGATTCAATTCCATGGCTTGATTTCATGGACTTGCAAGGTTATGTTAAGAGGATGAAAGTTGTAAGCAAGAAATTCGACAAATTTCTCGAGCATGTACTTGATGAGCATAACGTGAGAAGGAACGCAGTGGAAAACTACGTTGCTAAGGACATGGTGGATGTTCTATTGCAGCTTGCTGATGATCCAACTCTGGATGTTAAGCTGGAGAGACATGGAGTCAAAGCATTCACTCAGGTATTCACTTTATTTTTATATAAAACTCAAAAAAATAATTGGAGTAACGTTTGTATAAGATAAAAGGGTACAATGGGTAATTTTCTCATTAACCTTGCACTGAATGAATCCCTACTGCTCTGCTCTGCTCCACTTGGGGTGAATTCCTTCACTCTATTGATATGGATGGAGACAAGATATTGTGGAAATTTTTGATGGACCCAAAATTTGGTTATCACTTTTCAACAAGAAAATGAATATACTCGTAATATTTGAACTGTATCAATGATAGTGTTATATAAATGATATCACACCAAACGCATAATTTAAGATGGTCCATTTGTAGCTATTTTAGAAATAGAAAGTGACTACTAAAAGAATATAAATAAATTTTGTAGCTAAATAACAAAATACGGCTGTAATTCTATTTAGCACCACATTATAAGAAAAATTGTAAGCTATTAACTATGTAGCAATAGATTAGCGCATAGCTAGTTAGGTTATTTGTTTCTTATGCATGATTAAAGTTGATGACACGAGCAAAATGTGTATTGTACAATCAGGACTTGTTGGCTGGTGGAACTGAGAGTTCAGCAGTGACAGTAGAATGGGCAATTTCAGAGTTGTTGAAGAAGCCAGAGATTTTCAAAAAAGCTACAGAGGAATTGGATCGAGTAATAGGCCAAAACAGATGGGTACAAGAAAAAGACATCCCGAATCTTCCTTACATAGAGGCCATTGCGAAAGAGACTATGCGTCTGCACCCAGTGGCACCAATGTTGGTGCCACGTGAGTGCCGGGAAGACTGCAAGGTAGCTGGCTACGATGTTCAAAAAGGAACCAGGGTCCTCGTGAGCGTGTGGACTATCGGAAGGGATCCAACATTGTGGGACGAGCCTGACGCTTTCAAACCCGAGAGGTTCCTCGAGAAGTCCATCGATGTCAAAGGACATGATTTTGAGCTTTTGCCATTTGGAGCTGGGAGAAGGATGTGCCCTGGATACAGCTTGGGTCTTAAGGTGATTCAAGCTAGTTTAGCTAATCTTCTTCATGGATTTAATTGGTCATTGCCTGATAATATGACTCCTGAGGAACTCAACATGGAGGAAATTTTTGGGCTCTCAACACCCAAAAAGTTCCCACTTTCTGCTGTGATTGAGCCAAGACTTTCATCAAAACTTTACTCTGTTTGATTCAGCACTGTTTGTTTGTTTGAATTGATGCTCTGTTTTAAGTCTTTTTTTAATTTTGTATCCTTTTCTTTGCTTGGAAGTGGTTTGTAGTGAACTTCACTCAAAAGTATGTATGTCATAATAATGCAGATAATATTTCAGAATTATTTATGTTAGAGCAGAGCTTATGTTGTAAGTTGGAACAATTTCAGATCTCCTTAGGGAAACTTTTTATTCATGAATGTTCATCACGTCAGGTCATTAAAAATTATTTAAGGATTAAAACAAAGAGTCATTAGGCAAAGTCGAGGTAAACGTCAGGTCAATTCTTTACAAAATTAGGTGGAAGGTGCATCACGTACCAAATTGGAAGACTTGACCTTTTTGAACACGTGATTTCTAATTTAAAGTGAAATGTACAAACTTACAACTTGTCATTCTCTTATTACTATGATCGCTTCGCTATTTTGATAGATTTATTTCTGTGCAAATATAAATTAATTGGGTAACTAAATTTTGAATAACAAATGTTAACTAAACCATTCGTCACGTTTTTCCCTTCTGATTCATTTGTGATTTTTCGCACACAATATATAAACAGTAGATTTATATGAGTAAAACCAACATAAAGTAAGTACTTATTAAATTCTAGTTGTTTAACACACTGTTGTTGAAGGCAAGAAGGAAATAAGAAAAAGTTTGTTGGAAGACCAAAGGCAACTGAAACAAAGGTTCCTATTAGACTTTTTTTCTCTACAGTCCACTCCCATCCGGGTGTCCGATATTTACATTTGAAGCCGTACTAAATTCGGATTAGTGCGAAGTTCCACATTAGGGTAAAACGCTTCCTAAGGCGATTTTGTACTAGGAAGACTTAAACTTACGATCTCTCCTTAAGGATGAAGGAATAGTTATCACTCCACCAATATATGTGTTATTGACTATTATTCATATAAGTAACAGTATTAGACCATCTCTCAATTACTGCTATAAATACAGCTTTGGTGAAGCCATAAACTACATACTCCAAACAATTAACACTTACAATCACTATCAGTCCTCTTCCACTACCAAAAGTAGTACAAACAACTCAATGGAAGCTACTTCCTGGACTGCATATGCTGCAGTATTTCTTGCTACTTTGTTTCTTTTGCTTCTCTCCAAATATCTTCTGCAGAGGAAACTCAACTTACCTCCAGGACCAAAACCATGGCCGATCATCGGAAATTTAAACCTTATTGGCAGCCTTCCTCACCGATCCATCCACGATCTCTCCGTCAAGTATGGACCCATTATGCAACTACAATTCGGGTCTTTTCCCGTCGTAGTTGGCTCCTCCGTCGAAATGGCCAAAGTATTCCTTAAAACCATGGATATCATCTTTGTCGGCAGGCCTAAAACCGCAGCCGGAAAGTACACTACCTATAACTATTCCGATATCACTTGGTCCCCGTACGGATCTTATTGGCGTCAGGCACGTAGAATGTGCCTGATGGAATTGTTCAGCGCGAAACGGGTCGATTCATATGAGTATATTCGGGCTGAGGAACTTCATTCTATTCTTCATAATTTGACCAAAATATCAGGAAAACCGATTCTGCTGAAAGATTATTTGACTACTCTGAGTTTAACTGTTATTAGCAGAATGGTAATGGGAAAAAGGTACTTGGACGAATCCGAAAACTCCATTGTAACACCTGACGAATTTTAAAAGATGTTGGATGAATTGTTCTTACTTAATGGTGTCCTTAATATTGGAGATTCAATTCCCTGGATTGATTTCATGGACTTGCAAGGTTATGTTAAGAGGATGAAAGCTGTGAGCAAGAAATTCGACAAGTTTTTGGAACATGTACTTCATGAGTGTAACGCAAAGAGGAACGCAGTGGAAAATTACGTTGCTAAGGACATGGTGGATGTTCTATTGCAGCTTGCTGATGATCCAACTCTCGAGATCAAGCTGGAGAGACATGGAGTCAAAGCATTCACTCAGGTATTCACTTTATTTTTATAATGACCATATATATAACTTAAAACTCAAGAAAATACTAATTAGATTATGAGTAATTTTCATTAATCAATCACTGAATTCTTAGTGCTCTGCTCCACTCGAGGTGATGGTATACTATTCCTCCACTCTGTTGATATTGTGTTGACCCAAAACTCAGCTATCATTTTCCAACAAGAAAAATAATAGTATACTCGTAATAATTGAACTGTATCAATGATTATGTTCATAGAAATGATATCCCTTCCACTTTCTGTCTTGGTAAAACGGACAAAGAAACTATTAAAAGAACAGAAATAATATTTTTAGCTAAATAACAAAATCTGTCTCTAATTCTATTTAGCCACACATTATTAATAAAAAGTGTAAGCTACAAACTATTTAGCAATAGTCAGGTTATTTGTATTTGTTTCTTGTGTTTGGTTATAGTTGATGACATGAGTAAAATGTGTATTGTGCTATCAGGACATGTTGGCTGGTGGAACTGAGAGTTCAGCAGTAACAGTGGAATGGGCAATTTCGGAGCTGTTAAAGAAGCCAAAGATTTTCAAAAAAGCTACAGAGGAATTGGATCGAGTAATAAGCCAAAACAGATGGGTACAAGAAAAAGACATCCCGAGTCTTCCTTACGTAGAGGCAATTGCGAAAGAGACTATGCGTCTGCACCCCGTGGCACCGATGTTGGTGCCACGTTTGTGTCTGGAAGACTGCAAGGTAGCCGGCTATGACATTCCAAAAGGAACCAGGGTGCTGGTGAGCGTATGGACTATCGGAAGGGACCCTACATTGTGGGACGAGCTTGAGGCTTTCAAGCCCGAGAGGTTCCTCGAGAAGTCCATCGATGTCAAAGGACATGATTTCGAGCTTTGGCCATTTAGAGCTGGGAGAAGGATGTGTCCAGGCTACAGCTTGGGGCTTAAGGTGATTCAAGCTAGTTTAGCTAATCTTCTACATGGATTTAAATGGTCATTGCCTGATAATATGACTCCTGAGGAACTCAACATGGAGGAAATTTTTGGGCTTTCAACACCCAAAAAGTTTCCACTTTCTACTGTGGTTGAGCCAAGGCTTCCATCTAAACTTTACTCTGTTTAATTCAGCACTGGTTGTTTGTTTGAATTGATGCTCTGTTTAAGTCTTTTGTAATCTTGTATCCTTCTCTTTGCTTGGAGGTGGTTTGTAGTGAACTTCACTCAAAAGTATGTATGTCATAATGATGCAGATAATATTTCAGAATTATTCATGTTAGAGCAGAGCTTATGTGGTAAGTTGGAACAAGTGCAGATCTCCTTATGGAAACTTTTATCCATGAATGATATATTTCTCCTCAGGTATTTTTGAGAGTCAAACAAGGTATATGATATTTGTAGATCTACAACTTGAACCGGGGAGAAGCACATTAGAGGTTAAAAATGACCACAATTACCAGATGAAACAAGTAGCACATACTGAGAAATGTGACATGAGATCAACCTATGGATGCACTAGTTTGTAGGTGTGAAACCATGCTAACTGAAGGTGTCAAAAGAGAATACATTAAACTTATGGAGTAGCAATGGGTTGATATAAAAAATAAACTGGGTTAGCTAAAGGCACCTATATATATTCAACGTATTTTCTCTTTTAATGTTATTTATTATGACCGATGATATGATATGAGATTAACTGACAAAAGGAAAATTCGAATAACCAAACCCACCTTACATAAAATCGAACCATTCAACATTTCAATGAATGACTAACAGACAACCATGTCAAAACACACAGGACTTGGGAAAACCTGATCTTTATTTGACAATGTACAAAACAACAAAACTAACTTCCAAGTGCCTAATTCTTCCCCACTTTTGAACAAATAAAATTATAGCCAAAATACAATCAAAATGCACTACTTCATGCAAACACTACCACAGAAAAAACTGTATCTCAGTAGATCTAAACTCAAGATACTAAAACGATGACATTGGGAACCACCCACCCTCTGTAAAAGTCCCAACCCACTTGCATATTGAAGGCACATAGAATTAACTGAAAATCCTTTCAATGTTAAAAGAAGACGGGACCAGAAAGCAACTCAAAGGCGCTGTAAAAAAAATCCCTTAAGGCGTTGTAAAAATAAATACATTTACACAAAAACGCCTTCAGCAGCCTTCACCGTTGTGAGCAGCAAAATTGTGATAAATTAACATTTTCATATCAAGAAACTGCTTCCGCAAATTTACACCTACCAAACAAGAGCATAAAACAGATTACAACATAGAATATGAATAGGAGTTCCGAGTTCACCAATGTAAGCATTCTATTTGCCATACCTCGCTGTCCATGAGACTTGACGAATAATATGTACAGAAAAGAACCCTGTAAAATCAAAAATAACAATATTATAAAAGAGAGTCATGCAGAAGAAAAGTATGATGCTATTAAATAAGTATAGCATATACATTGGGACACGTACCTGTTGACAAAACTATTTAACCAGGACAACTGGTTACAACAAGAAGCAAATAGGCAACAATAAAGTGATTGATCTCATCGTAAGGAAATGCTATCTAAACACCAAGCTTCCATTCTGTTGACGTCTCAAATTTTCAATAAGTAACTGGTAAAATGATTTCAGCACTTTAATATCACTACCCTGCTAATAAAAGCCAAAACAATACAAGGAAAAGTCAGTAAAAGCAGATTATCCATTCTGTTTGCTTGTAGATACTAATGGAGGTTTTATTCATAACCCCGCCCTTCAAAAAACAGGAGGATTCCGACACTGTGTTCTCTACTTTCTCCAGTTCTTCAAACAGTGCTTTCTGAACAGATGGTTCTGTCACCATCCTTGCTAAAATTTAATTCAGCATGTCAAAAAAAAAAGTAGAATACCTGCAATTTCTGACAATACTGCTCAGCCAAATCTTGAGGACAATGAGCACTTTGCAAGCTTTTTGATACAAAATGAACAAGAAAATCATTCCCAAATTTCTCAAACATGACCTTCTGAACCAATACAATCTCGCCGAAAAGAACAAGCTGCCATGGTAATTATTAAAAAAATGAAAAGGGAGATCAGCTATGCAACCCAGGAATATCAGATTCTTGCAATCATATTACTATATAGCAAACATCAAGTATCATTTTGCAGATCTAGAACATGAGGCAATCAGAGAGAGCAAGTAAATTGCTGCAGCAGGAAGAAACAGGAGGACATATTCAATTTGTCCACCAAATGCTAGTTCCAGAAGGGAAAGGCCACAAATATGCCGAAATAATATCAGCCACATGAGAATGAACTAATTCACAGTAACAGCAACATATTCATATCAAAGCACTGTGTGCTGACATTGTTGTGCCACAACTGATAACAGACAGGGTTGATAAGTTAGTTAGACTAGTCAATGCACCAACTTAGTTGTGCCATAACTGATAACAGACAGGGTTGATAAGTTAGTTAGACTAGTTAATGCACCAACTTACCGTATTTGCATCACGGAACTCGAAGGATTTGTCAAGGACACTGTACAGACAACAGTTTGTTGCAAAGGCCTCCATCACAAAACTTCGGAAACCAGGCACCTGGAACAGAGTAGACATTTTACATGCTAATAGACACAATTGATCTTTATTGCTGCAGTGAAGCTCAAAGACAGTTTTACCTTTTCTTCACCATAAGGACTCACACACCAGTCTTTGATTAGTCTTATAAATATCTGTACACATGCCTGAATAAGAAGGGTAAGGAATGAAGTTCCAATAAGTGGGATATAACATATTTTTGTGAAGCTCCTGAACACTAAATAGCACAAGTAGACTAATGCTAAACTAACCTTACGAACAAGGATATCCTTGTGATTACAGGATGCATGTAAGATCAGCTGCATCATCGGATCCAAGTAAGCCCTACTTTTGGAGGAAAGAAAAACTGATGATAGATCATGCGTAGCAATCACGTGAAGGAAAGTGTAAAACGTCCTCTGAAGTTCCTGTAGCTCACGGATTTCCTGAGATGACATACAACTATCATGAAAGGACAGTAAAGAAAACTATAAAAAGAAGCATCCTCAGTTCCAAATGCAAATACAAAATCCAGGATATGCATTAGATGGTAATAACCCAACCAGGATTATGGTCTGCATAATTCAAGCCTTTAAGATATTTTCTATACACCAGTCTTATCCTTCTACAAAAATGAGTGCATATGCTGACCAATCTAATCTGAATGAAGGAACAATAACAATGCAACTGGCAAGATATCACAGATGAGGAATCCCAACGAATCTGATAATGCTCAATCGCACCAACAGTCATCCGTAGTAATAGAAATGGAAGCGAGACAAATAAG